AACCCTGTATAATCCCCTATATAATCCTCCTTTAAGGAGTTTAGACTATGGCTCATCTGATGACCGCGCTTCGGAGTCATGAGCCAGTTCAGAAATTCACCACTGTCAGAGCACCAACAGGCTTGCGGCTAAGGGCTGTGGTGACATGCATGTCATGAGGAATGTGTTCCAGCCCCAACATTGCAATACAGTAACATCTCATAAACCATGGGAATACTATACTATAATATAGTAAAATATACTATATTATATTATAGTATACTTTACTATCCTGTATTATAATATATAATATACCATAATATGCTACAATATACTGTAGTGTACTAGGTTCTCCATGTAGCCAGCTCTTGAGATGAGGGAAGGGGTTTGGGTTGCAGGTGAGTGAGTGCTGTCCTTGTCCTTAAGGAACACCTTCCAGCGTCCAAAGCCCTCGTTCTCCAAGGGCAATGAATTGTTCCATCCGTTGAACCTTGAGTGCATCAATGAAGAGTCTACAGTAGGGTCTACGGTCATCTCACAGTATATACAAGTCGAACTTACACAGGGGGAGATCCAACATGATTGACCTCTCAAGTTGCCCAAAGACTCTGTTTGACATAGAAATGATACAGTGACCCTATACCTTACATGGGACCAGTCTAAGATCCTGGCTCACCGATCAGAAACACCTGTTTGGCGTTGGGCAGCCACTCGCGGTAAATGTAACCACCTTCAGATGACTGGGCTTACTGGTACTTAGTAGGGAAGAAGGGAATACAATCCCTATATAACCCTTATTCAATGCCCATATAATTCTTCCGTCGTTCCCGACTAACCCCCAGTAAGTTCAGAGACTTCTGAGCTGTTGGGATTATACGTCTAAGGGCGGCCTCAGCTTGCTGATCCAAAAAAACTCCGGGAATGCTTGATGCATACTATTACGATTAGTACTTATTACTATTATTACTATGATTACTATCATTGCGATCATTACTATGATTACATCATTGAATTACCATTGGCACTTTCCTTGGTGCACTTTAAGGTTGCGCTGCTGTGAAATGAGGACACCCTGTTCAATGTGTGTGGGCCGCCGCGTAATCAAATCTAGGACATTGTTGGGAAGACCCTGTTTAATGCGTTTTGGGGCCCTAATCCAGACCATCCCCTTCAAAGTAATCCCCAGCGCCCTTTCTGAGGACGCCAAACTTCTGATTTTCTAGGAGCCCTATTGCTAGCGGGGAACCAAGTTCAAAGAGAGTGCCACATTAGCGTCCGCTCCACATGCAATGCAGGAGGGTGTGGGGGAAAGTGCCCACTTCCCAGCTTGCACAATCAGATGGCTCATGTGCTACATGGTGCAGGCAGCCAGCCTTCCGTCTTGTTGAAACCGAAGATCTTGTAGCCCTCCGCAAACTTCTCCATTCCTCCCTCCTTCTCGCTCAGCTCGTTCTTCCACCACCTGCATGTGCAGAACTCCCCGGAGACTCTTTTGGGTCATATACCTCAGGCCCACAAGCCCATACAAGTCAAGTGGCAACGTTTGAGCTCGGATGCTCGCGCATACCATGTGCTCAAAAGATTGCTCTTATCTGGAGCTATCAAACAGGAAGAGTCGTCACAGCATGCACACCCCCATCTAAAGTTTGCACAGAAAAGCTTGCATGCTCGAACTTGCTTGCGTTCGGCTGCTACTTCAAAGACCAACGGAGGAAGCAAACGTGCCCACCTGTAGCCGTTGACGCGATCCCATATCTGCCCCTCGCATCCACGCAAGGTACCATCGATCTCGAAGATCTTCAGCGACATCTCGGATGGGTTGGACAGGCCGAGTCCTAAGAGATTATGTGCTAAATGCTTCGGGCATCGGCATGGCATGTCAGGTCAGTGTCTTTGGCAGCAGGCAGTGTACGTACATGGACGGATAGGTGAGCATTGCGCTTCAAAGACACTCAATGCTGCACGGCACCTATCTTTTGGCCTCTTCGCGCCGTGTGCGATGCTGACTGCAGATGTGGTTCTGTCAGGCCAAGCGGACGGGAAAACAATGGCCAACATTTACTTTAGATGGCTCAAGAGATCCCTTTATTCAACTTAGTACAGAAACCATGCCCAGCCTTAGCACTAGCTCGTCAGACTGAAACTTGCAAATGTACCAAAGCTAAAGCCCCTTCACAAGCCTCAAGAAGGCGGACTCACCATGCAGAAGCCGCTTATTAAGACTCATTCAACACTACAAGCTGAGCACATGCCTACGCAAACGCCGAATTCCTAACACTGTGCTGCGCTTGGCGCGCTGGCTGTGAGACATGGGGGAGTTTCTCAGAGTAGTCCCTGCTGGGGCCAGGTAGGCCCCAAGTACATTCAGGTTCTGCAAGGGCCCTCTGTCTGAGAAACGCCCGTGGCAACATACGAAGCTGTGAAACTGGAGTGTACGATGGCATCCTCTCGCAGGTCTCGCAGCAGTACCAAAAATCATGCATCATCGTTAAGCTTTAGGTTCAATGCATCGCAGTCTTTGGGGCTCTAAGGGGGCTTGCTTCGCACATTAAAATGTCCCCAATCAGGTATCGCAGCCTTCTAGCCCCAAGAATAGCAATAGTCGCTGCTGGCACCGGAAATTGAAGTACTAAGAAGCATCTCCGAACTCAAATGGCGACGGCCATAAGCGTGCGAAGACAAAAGCATCTCGTCAGTTGAGCGCAAGTATCATTGCTAGAGCTGTGCTATTCACAAGGCGGTTCTTGTCATGACAAACCCCGCTGTCATTGCTTACGCCTGTGAAGTGGAAGGTCTCTTAGCTCGTTACACATTGGAGCTTTGGTTGCACCTTCTCCTGTAGAAGGATGCGAGAGCATGCCGATGGTCGCTTCACTTCACATCAGCCCGGTTCCAGGGAACCTGCATCTCACTCGCCGCAATGAATGACAATCAAAACCACAAAAAATCATCATTACAACGTCTGACAGTCAGAGTAATAACCTACATTCGTTCTCTCTTTAGCAACCTGAGAACCCGGGGCGCACTCCCCCAGATACTTCAGGCCACTCTTGCATCAACAAACATCGTCAAGAAGCCCTCAGCCCAGAACCCAAGTTCTTAAAACCTCCCGAATCCCCACATAACCCTACGTTCTTTCCCAAAGAATGAACCGGCCACTATACGGATACATTTGTACCCAGATTCCAGGATTCCCCTCAGGGGAGGCCTTCGTCGGGCGGGGGCTCCTCCGCCGGCGGCGCCACCGCCGCGGCAAGGCGCTCAGTGATGAAGCGACGGATCTCCGCCAGGGCTTGGGAGGCCAACTCGAACCTGAGTGAAATTGGTATCGCTCCGTAGCAGTGTCCCACCCAAAATCATGTATTTCTTTTAGAGAGAGCCTAAAACCAATCCAGATTGAGAAGCACCAGCATGTTTCTGAAGATTTAGGTGGTCTAGGGTCGATCTGTTGAGGATTGGGCTGGCCGCAAGGCTCGCCCGCAGCTCTCTTCACGTTCCGGAGAACAAGTGTGACTTCCCTTGTTAGAGAACTTCGAGAAAGGTGGCAGGGGCTTATTGTTTTGGTTGCAGGTCTGCTAAACAGGTCGTACATACATTCTTCGTATGATGGGTCACCTGGTGAAGCCCTCTGACACAAGATTTGCATCCACAATGCGAGGAAATTGCCAACCCACCTGCAGGAGATGTCCAACGCCTGTCTACAATAGCAAGGCAAGGCAACGATTCGAGGTGATTCTACGGACAAACACGAAGATAAGAGCACATGCCTCTTTGAGGCATGGCTACATACCCTTCCATAAGCTGACCTGGAACCCACTACAGATACTTCAAGTTGAACATCAAATTCCCAAGCCAAACAGCCGGGTTCCTAGATTGTCGAGCTTTGGAAGCCCCGACGTTCATTTGGCATAAACCATAAGCCGAAAACCCCAAGTCCTGACCGTAAGCTATTCCAAACTTCTTCCCAGTGACTGCATCTCCGGAAACAGCACGAAGCGCAGATTGACCTCTGCCTCCTCCAAATCACGGCTTATAGGGCTTAGTACTATAGACCCGTGAGAAAGAACCCCCTCCTTGTCAGCGCCTTAATATTAGGATTCCTATTCTAATTCCCATTAAGGGGAAGGGAATCAGAGGTCTACATTAGGGTTTACCGGGTGTAGGCTTGCAGCGAATGGTTCAGGCATTAGGATGTAGGTCTGATGACGTAGGGTTACGGGATGTAAAGACATTGCTAATGTCGAATCCTGACTAGTGTGGGGTCCTGAATTGTGCGAAATTTAGGCGAAATTGCTGAGGACCGCCGCATTTTGTTTTGGGATGCTGATTTGTGCAAAACTCTGCCAGAGCTACCTGGCCCAAGCCGTGGTCCAACTGCTTTTCATTTGAAACTACAACGCAATCTTGTTTGCACGCGGGGCTTTCCCCCAGCCCTCAATGAATAGGGACTGATATTAAGGATCTCTAATTAAGTAGCAGAGAAGTGAGTGCACATGTGCAAAGCTCCGTTTGCAGATAGGGCAAGGCCTTTTACCAAATCCCGTCTGCAAATAGGGCCCATTGTACCCCCAACATGCTTGCAATCCTGTCCTAGTTGCTGAGATCCCGGGCCCGAAGTCCAATTTTGAGTATCCCTTCTTTAGGCGGTACACCTACACAATTTGAGGGGTCAGCCTCAGTTTCAGTATTGATTAGTAGGATCTCCCGAGCCCTGGGAACCAAAAGCGATTCCCTTTCAAAAGGAAAGCAAGTTTAATCTTGAGCGGAAGCGGCAGGACCCAAAATCAATAACGCTGACAAACAACTTTAAGTTAAACAAGGCACCCCGAAACAATTGAGTACAGTACCTTCAATATGCGCAGAAACTTGACATAAAAGAAGGTATCCGCCCGAAAGACAGCACCACATGAAAGGTTATCCGCTCCGCTACCAAGTCGCGGGCCCCTGTACCCACGTTGAAGCAGCTGCACAACACTGGCGTAAAGACAGGACCTTTACCTGGGAGCCATTTCAGAGCCAATTCCATGTCCTGAAGGTCTGGAAGTATTCTAAGACGACCGCAAAAACACCCTGATCTTGAGGAAATCCCAGACACCATCCACCATCCCAGAACAGACTGCGCTTCGAAATCCCAAAACATAAGTCCTAAAACTCTACAAGCCCCTCCCCCTGCAAACCCCAAGCCTTAAACCCAACAACCCCAAAGCTTAAACTCCAACCTTAAACTCCATATCATGCCCCCCATAACCCTATATATCCCAAGATAACCCTATATCATACGTAGGGTTTAGAGTCCGGGGGTTTAGAGCTCAGGGTTGGTTCGAACCATGGGCCTTGAGAGCTTTCGCCTGTTCTGCTGCTAGGCGCGGCTCAACGACATCATCCCGGGCACCATGGCACCATAGCAGCGCCTCCAAAGGGCTTAGGTTGAAATCATTAATAAAGAGGTTTTGGTAACCCCAACCCCCAAAATTAGGACTGTATGACTATCATATGATGGTTCTAGGGTCCTAACTTTGGGGGTTGGGGTTACCAAAACCCCTTTACGAACCATGGGCCTCGAGGGTAGGGGTTAGGGTTAGGGCTTAGGGAGGTCGAAGCCGTGGGCCCCAGGTACGAACCCTTAACCCTGGGGTCCTCGTATACAAAATTATGTAAAATAATGGCCTTTTATGGCTATTATTATGGGTTCAGGGCTATTATTTTACATACTTTTGGGGTTTAGGTACTGTATACCCTAATACGTAGCCTTTAGGATCATGCACGGGAGGCTTTAGGATATACAGGGTGTAGGTTAGGGGCTAGGGGTGCGGGGTGGGGATCTGTATAGACCTAAAACCATAACCCTAAACTCCATACTATGTCCCCGATAGCACATCCGCGTCTGCCCTGGATGGCTAGTACTGGCTTCTATACCCCAGAGCTCCATGTAGGTACTATTCATAGACTTTAGGGCCCCAAGGTAGGTATTATTCATAGACCTAGAGCGACAAGGGATCTTGAGCGGCTATCTAGGGGTTGTAAGGTTCAGATGTGTCGGAAGGGTTCCTTTCTTGGTGATTTATTAGGACATGTAGGGGCTATAGCCCTGACGGGTTGCATGAGGACAGTACAACAAAAGCTAATGTTTTCAGGTCGTATCAGGTGGGCCATTGCTAGGACGCCCAATGCAAGACTCATCCATGCGGCTGCTAAACGAGAATTGGCTGTCTGAGAAGCAGACCGTGCTCCTGCCCCCGTCGGAAATCTCCTGCGGGATGTCCTGGCGGCGGGCTTGATGAGGCCGACATCTCAGGGATTTCAGGCCTGCCTATAATTCAGGGTTCAAGGCCCGTGACCTTTTTGCTGGAACCTTTTCTTAAATCGTGGTCAGCGTGACAATGCTTCCGCGATGACCTGCAGCGCAGGGCCCAAACATCCTTGCTTGGCAACATAAGTGCGATGTAGTAAACGGGCTTATATCAAGTTGTTTTTAGAAGCTTCAGGCCCCACAATATGGGGCGCTGGAATAGCAGGATTTGTTGAGCGATGGTTGAAGTGAAAGAGTGACACTACGTCAGCCCACTCAAGATAATCCCTTGCAGAGATGCTTGTCAACATCGCGGGTCTGAATCCCAAGCACGAGGCACCCGGCTAAGGTGATGCCGTCACCTTTTTCAATGAATTTGTAACACCTGCACTACTTAGCAAGCGTAGCCCCCCGCAGGGGAGCCAATGCAACAGCCCATGCGCCAACCAAAATGACAACACAGTGGCCCGCCTTCGAGCCCGGAACCCAACCGCTGCAGACCACCCCTGAGGCCATCAAGCCAGGGCACGGATAGCTTTTTGAGGGCTACGTCCCAAAATCATGCTTCTTGGGAGGCTGTTATGAGAAGGACCTCAGTATTCTGAAGAGGGAAGATCTAGAGGCCCTTTTGTTTACGGGCCATAGAATCATACCTGCAATCTGTTTGCATGCCAGGTTTGAGGCTGGGCGATGCGAATTTCTCTTCTCTGGCTCGGCCTTCTCTGACTATAACCTAAACCTAAACCTCCTCTTACCCTTAATCGCGTTTTAGGGCTCCCGATAGCGGGTACTTAGGCCCTTATAGACAGTAGTTGGATGGTCAAGGAACACACCTTCCAAATTGGCACTTGCTTCCTCTGCAGGTAAAGGCCTGTATAAGCAGATGTGCATTAATCGCCTTCTTTCAATTTTGTCCCTCATCAAAGACTGCCGAGTTATGGAGTTTGCGTGAAACTATGATTCCCCGTCTGCCCCGACCCTGTAGACATGATGAAGATGCCTGCTTCATCAAGAGCCCTAACAGAGGGTGAGCTTCTACCAAACTGTGAAGGTCTTGGTTCAACGTCTCTGGAAAGGCATCATGCAACAGAGCCCTTTCCTACAGAACTTCCGCAGAAACCTTGGAAAACTTGCAACTGAGAAGATTACAACAACAGGCATTGCCCCAAAAGCCCTAGGGTCTCCATGCCAGTGAAGCTGCAAGACCCTCAGCCTAAAGCACCTGGTCTAAAGTCCAGTAACCCTACCCAACCTCCACATCACCGCGCAAACCCGAACACTCAAAACCTGGCCCTAACTCCCAACACTTAAAGCCTAGACGGTAAATTCCACGAACCCTAGGCGCGACCCGCTGACCTCCTGCCAAAGGCTCCTTCGACTGGAGCACCTCATAGTTGCAACCGTGTCTTTTGAAAGGGATGTTTAGGCCACAACTTGTTTCATCTTGTGAGGACTGTGCCTAAGACTAGGATCTTGCATCAGATGAATTTTGCGAATTAGGGATTGTGCTGAAGATAGGTGATCTGAGGGCCGGCTTTGAGTTTACAAGCTTTCGAGGGAAATAGGTAAGAAGTAGGGTAATGTTAAGGAAGGACGTCCGATGTCACAATTTGCGATTCACTCCTGCTGCGAAACCTTACCGGATGAGTTGTCAACAGGAGATAGCGCTGCATAGCTACGTTCCCCTTCCATTACAATCAACATCCTGGAATGTGCTCTAGGTACTTTGGGTATAAAGTTCCTTCCGCGGCAATCCTAACTTTATTGCTCGATGCCTGCTAGATGATCTGGCCTGCCTTGATGGCTAAGACAGTTGCGCATATGCTCAGAGACTCTACGAACTTTGAGGCTTTGGAGACTACAGTCATCATATAGATGGGGGTGTCCGCAAAGACGGGGCCCAATAAATCAGCATATGAGGTTGAAACGCCAGAAAGCAGAGACATTCCGCCTGTCGAAGTTGAGAGAGCTGTTCCGCGAGATCTCGTCTCATAAATCAATGAAGACAGAAAGGCAAGGCAGCAACGCGGCAACGCAAGGTAGCCACCGTTTCGGTTATCTTCGAAGCCATTTCGGTTATCTTCGAAGTTACAATGCAAGGGAGCAGGTATATAAGCATTCAAGGTTGAGGTAAGGCCGAATCTGCTAGCTCAAGCCCACACAGCAACTACAACATCCAAGAGCGCACCTGGTGGACCTAAACAATAATGTAAAGATCCCCAGCCAATAACCTTGTGTGAGTTGCAACATAGTGGAAGAATGAGCCGGCCTCCCTGCCGAAATTGGAACCCGTATAATCCCCATATAACCCCTATAACTATAATCCATATGGTTTCCATTTTCTTTTCCTTCTCCCTATGTTACCGCAATATATACCCCTGCGGCTTCCGATTTTGAAGAAAGGGCTTCTCGGGCTTCTCATGACTGAAAATGCCTTGTTAGTAGTTGGAAGCGCCAGCTACCTTGAGATTACAGGAGATATTGCGCATTGTAACGTCGCATGCGTACCCTAACCCTAAACCCTAGACCCTAAACCCTAAATCCCTCTACACTAAATCCTACGCCCTACCGTAGATACTAACCCATCCCGGCCCTGCTGCCAAGTGCGGAACGGTCCGAAGCGCAAGCGCAGCCCCCTGACCTCGGCCATTCATCTGCATCTGCGCTCAGGTACCCAAATATATTGCAATTGAAGGTATACCAAAGGCATGCTATTCCGAAGGTAGGGTGTGTATGTCAACCCCCCAGAGTAGCAACATTCTTAACGTGGGGACGTGCAAATGGACCATGCCTTTAGCACCGACACATTCACCCAAGGAGAGGCTTTGAAACTGGGGTGGTCCTCTCGCGTGTGAAAATTTCGAACAGGTACTGGGAAGAATACGAAGACGGACAAGACATGCACACAGTAACTCTGCCACCCTTGCCCTTCGTTACAAAGCCCAAACTCTGTAAACCTCCGCAGCCCTAACTAGACTCCGTAACCCTAACTGTGTCTCGTCTTTCCTACCCTTTCGTAGTTCTATGCCAGTAGTTGCCAGGTGACAGCCCTAATCCCTGGGCAAATGCGGAAACATGCAATCGAAGGTATGGTCCTTAAACTCTGATTCTTGAAGGCCATCTTAACTCCTGGGCTAATTAACCCAAACACTGCTTAGTCCCTAAACCCTGAAGCATGCCGCAATGCAGCCCAATGACCGAATCCGCCCAGGAGGATGCGTTGGCGAGGTACGCCTTCCACCTGTGGTGGAGTGCACTCCCTCACAGTTCCTGAAACACACATGCAATACAGATTACGCGTGTCTATAGATCTGCGTGTATATATATATACACATATATTCTACATCTATGCACGTGCTGCGTGCGTACGCAGGTAGGTCGGTAGGTAGGTATAATCTGCAGGCCTGCCTCGAGGGCACGGATCATTGTCTCAGCGCGCTTTACTGCCGCAAGGACATCACTTTGGTCCTCATACCAGCCAAATTGTTCTTAGGATTCTCACCCCTGTTCTGATTTGTGACATGCTTAAGAATCTCTGCCGGCCGGATTTGCAACTACAGCAACTTGCGAGTGGTGACGTCAAATGCCGTTTCTGTTTCTGTCGTACTGTGACAAGGGACGGCGCCTTAGGCTTGGTTCAGGTCATTGTCATATAGCTTGCCTCTCAGAAATCCATGGTAAGGTTTTGGTCTGAGTCAAGATGCTTCAGGCACCACTCACTCCAGACACAGACATTTATATGTCATAGCAATGCTACTCGCACAATTTCTCCTGGTAGCTATGCAAAAGAGGGAACATTATGGCTTAGAAGTTCGGTCGAAGAAAAAAAACAAGTTTCCACAGTCCGGTCGGCTTCTGGTATCATAAATGAGGCAATGACCAGGACTGCAGGCACCGCTGCGGTGCCCATATGTTTCCGGGATGGCAATTCTCTGTATTATTAGGACTACAGAAAGTCATCTTCGGGTGCACCATCAATCATAGCTACCTACAGTGTTGAGTACCAACTGATCCCCCAAAAAAGAAAACCTTAGCTTAGCATCTCAAACTCCCACACCTGGCGATCCTAAGCCAGAGTGTAGCAAAGGAAATATGAAGGTTTCCCAAACTTAGGGGTACCTTTCTGGGGGTCCCTATAATAAGGACTCTAGTATATTGGGGTCTATATTGGGGTACGCTAATTTTGAGAAACTACCATATGTACAGGAAAATTGCAGTTCGCTTTAGGTGAATAGAAGATCCTGTCTCAAGCAAGCTCCCCAATACAGTGTGCGTACGCTGCCTACCTTGCGTCCTACTTCCCCTAATTTCCTGTACCACCTGTAGTCCCTCAAAGGCGAAGCCTACCAGAAGCCCGGCGGTCCTCCCCTTTGCGGGGCCGGTCTGGTATGCCACGCACCACCCGGCAAATAGGATACTCCTGGCTGCAGGCGGCCGTCTGACTGTGCGTCTGCTGGAGGGCGGGTCTGGCAAAACTGCAACATGCTGTGAACTCGGTCAGCACCCATATCCCCCACTGTTGTCATTGTAGGGAATGTGGCTGACATGTTCGCATGCTGTGTGCGGATGGCACATTGCGAAAGCAAATGCAAAGAAAACAATGAAGTGTGGTCCAGGAGAGCGCAGGGAGGATCTGGAAACATGCGTTGCCCTAAGGTCCTGACAAATCCATCTAGGAGCTACACCCCGCAAGACTCTCTGAGTGACTCTCTGTCTCTCTGTCACTATGCGTAGACGCTAGGCAAATGATCATTACGTAAACATCATGAAGCACCACGCCGCGGAGGCGATGTTGAATTAAGTCCAGACACCAGCAGCAGTTCAGTTCTGCTGCCAAGATGGCACGTTTGATACTGTGTGATGATTGCAACTACTATCTTCCTGACAAACCCAGTCCATATTAGCTGGTACGAGACGGCTTACCAAACATCTTTTTTCTCATCAAATAGGTTTCAGGGAGTGGGGTTTGGGGGTGTAGGACAGACATAGACATTCTGGGTCTTGGTGTGGGACTGTTAAAGGTTTAAAGCGTAGGTGCTCAAATAGATCATATAGTGTAACGGATTTCTGATGGTTATGTAGCGTGGGTGATAGGTGAGTCGTCTTAGGTGGGGCAGGGCTTAAGCGAAGGGGTGAGGCGGAATGGGGATGGGGGGCTGGGAGTTACTGCAAACCCCCCTAACTACAAGCCCACGTGGACAGAAGTGCTGCTTGCACAGCGCAAACTACTGCCAGCTGTCAGGGCAGGCAAAATACCGTCGTGCTGAGATCCTCCAGGCACTAAGCGGCAAGCTATTGACCTCTGTATAATCCATACAAACCCTGGTCAGCCCTAAGCATCTTCTACAACCTCCGGTTGACTGCTGGTGAATCCGAAGAAGCCCTGCGTCCTCCTTGTAAAATTTGAAAGAACCTGATAGCAGAACTCAGTGCACCAAACTCAGTACAAGACTCGACCAAACACTTGGAAAGTCCCCATAGCTCCTCACTGGGACTGGGTTCTACATGAAGTTTTACATGATCCCAAGAAGCTCCTACAGACTGCACTGCTTCTATGCGGACACGCTGTCCTTCACATCGAACCATTGTAGTGTGGGGCTGTGACCCCTTATGCTGCTCGGCTGCAGCGGCGCTCGCGGCCTAAGCTCTGCAAAAGTCAAAACTATGTCAGGGAAAGGGCCCAAGATTTGCACAAAATTTCCTTTCAGTAGCTTTTAGCTTGACTTGCTGTAGGTCGTGCCAAAGACAAGTTGGGACTTAGACGGCGCCTCTTTTGCACTTCTCCTGAAGAAGTGGAGCTCACCACACAGTCACGTCCTCAAGCTGCTAGACCCACTCACGATGAATGAAGAGGCAAAGCCACTTCGGAGGCTTCAGAGCATGAGATCCTTCAATTTTCAGGCAAAGCATGCCATTTTCTGCCTTTCGTACCGAGAGTTGGATTCATCTAATCCAAGCACCAATCTAAATCAAATTGGACTGTTCGTCGAATCCCTTCGGATCTCGTGAGCCTGCTGCCAAAGAGCTTAGAAGCCAGGTGACCTAAAGCCAACCTGCCCAAAATCTTGCATGAAAAGTTGGATACCTCAAGCCCACGACCGCTAAACCTCTTCGCCCCAACAAATCTAGGTATGAGATCGCTAGCCCCTTCATTCCTATCATTATGAAATGCACCAGCGGCATATGGTATGCCTTCCCGCCCATAACATGTGCTTCCATACATCCCTACAAACTCTTGCCATCCCGCCTTACAAAGGTTTGTTCGCACTAGCTCTTAGCTACAGCCCTTGCCATTTTACGAGATGATTCCTACATCTCCGCATAAAAAGGGGGCATTGTCAAAATTATGGTCCCTTTTTGGGTCCCTATTATAATACGGGGCCTAATATAGGGGACCCAAAAAGGGACCATTAGTTTGACAATCCCCCAAATGTCTTCACCAATACGTCATGAGAATGGGCTGCCCGACCAGAGCCAGCGCACGCGCCCGATCTCCTCTGGCAGGTCGAAGTTGCGGAAAAGCATCTGCTGCATAGCCTGTGTTTAGGGATTTAGGGTTTAGGGATTTAGGGATTTAGGGTTTAGGGTATAGGGTTTAGGGCCACAAATCGGGCGTAAAGGGCCCAAATCACAGTCTCGCTCAGTTTTGTACAGATGTTTTTGTAGGGATGCTAGGGGGAATATGGAGGCTTAGATAGCTAGGAAAGGGCATGAGGGGAGAGCTATACTATCATTATGTTGACTTACAGTCATAACTTTTGAAAATCGGTCTGGAATGGGAGGACAACGCCACAAGCGGTGGGACTGCTCTTGCTAAGCCCTTCCTTTCTGATCCTTTCCCCAAAGGGTCCATGTAGGTATATGGTATATACTTAGGGCCCAAATAGGTTCCCATATACCTACTTTAAGGCCCAAGTATATCCCATATACCTACATGGACCCTTTGGGTTCTGCATCTGAAGCAAAGCTCGGCAAGGCGTCGCCTGGCAAAATGACAGCTCCAGGTTAGATGAGTAGCGTTTTTTTTGGTGGTTGAACCTAGTAAGATTATATCCCTTATATAAGATACTATACCCCAAAAGGAGCATATAATCTTACTCTATATTGGGTACCATAATACCCACAAATAAATACTTCTCAGATGTACTGATCTGGTTCAGGTTGTTCTCGCCGAAAGTAACATTCGCCCAATCCTTGAAGGATCTGTCGGGGCTCATGTGTTAAAGAAGCTACATACCAAGAAGACCAGGGCAGATACATATAGAGATTAGGTTTGGGGTTGCAAGAGGGTCATCGCCATAATTGCGAACCCCGGAATAGCTAGATTTCTGTTTGTATTGGGCTACGCTCGAAAATGGCACCAAAGATCTTGCCACCTGATTGGGGGGCGTGGTCATTAGTGCCGATCTATTTCAGAAGGTGGACACGCGCACGAGCGCTGACGGAACATGAGGTGGTATTGAAACGGATTAGCCAGCTACCGATATCACCTGCGCCTGATCTACATCAGACGTGATCTGCACTCCACATCTCGAAGTGAAAGGTGTGTCACTACAAAAGGTCGGCTTGAGGCAACCAATTCTGCTTATGCTCGGGCTCTCTCCATCTTCATCAGCCTCGAAGCGGGCTAGTACGAGGATCTTCGGCACCTAATTCATGTGGGAAGAGGTGCCAAAGGCTTGCAGCAAATCCAACGGACCAGCCTGGTGCAAAGCCATAGGAAAAGTATCAAGAGAGCGAGCAAGCTTATGGAGCACAAGGAGATGGCCGTGTACAAGGACATGCGGCCACTTGAAGAGAAACGGTCCAGTGCGGCCACCAACACCATGCGCGGGTCATCCGCTGCAGGGAAAGCATCAGGCAGAATAGTGTGTGTCCGCACGGACCCCTTTTTCACAATGGCTGTCAGGACATTCGCCACGTGTTCATTCCAGCCCTGCGTCCCCTGACAGTAGTGAACACAGTCCCCGTCGCTCCAGTGCGACTTCCACCAATCCGCCAAAATCTCGGTGCTGTCGATGAACGTCACAGAAGGAAGCAGTGCAGGCAACAGACGATGGGCGATCTGATTCCTCCAAGTTTTCCGCCAGGGAGAATCGGCCTGGCTGTGCGGGAAGCAGCCTGGGATGATTTTCCCCGTAGCTTTGAAATGCTCTGGCAAGGTATCCACCCAGAATATGTCTTCTGGCAGGCGATCAGCGTACTCAAGGATGACCTCTGCCAACAGAAGAAGACCATGTGCATAATCCACTGGTTCAAGGTTCAGCTTCGTGCATTTCATCCGAGGCTGTTGCCGGCCCAGCCGCCGTTGTCCTCAGGGGGTTCCAAAGCTTGAAAGCCTCAGACGACACACAAAAATGCGTGGTGAGTCCTACTCAGTCCTACGGACACCCAGCGTGAAGGTGGGTTGACTACGAGCTCCTTCT